CCTGTCTAGTCCTTCGAATCCGAACCCTCGGACGGGAGCGCCGCCGCGCTTCCCAAGCGGCGCACTATCCAGTGCGCCACCGGGCCGGCCCGTTTTTATATATTTTTAAGTTTTTTCATAATGGCTATTCTGAGAATTACGTTTAACATCCTAACTTTATAACAATCTAGTTTGAATTGATACCATTTAGCTTTCATAGCATACAAAAACTCAGCTGTTATATAGCTTCACAGACACACACCTCTTTGTTATTCCCATGTTACTTTTTGTTACAAATTATATCTTTCTGCATTGTGTTACCTTTACTGGTGTTCTTTATTTCTTCATTTGGCTTTAAGTTACTCTTTATTGTCCTTTCATTTCAGCCTGAAGGACTCTCTTTAGCATTTCTTACAGGGGAGGTGTGTAATGACAAACCCTCCTAGCTTTTCTTTATTTGAGAATTTCTTAATTTTGCTTTCATTTTCTAAGGCTAGTTTTATTGGATATAAAATTCTTGGTTGACAGTTTTTTTGTTTCAGTACCTCAAATATAACATACCACTGCCTTCTGTCCTCCAGTGTGTCTGATGAGAAATTCATTGTTAATCTTACTGTGGAACCTTTGTACATGACATGTTGCTTCTCACTTACTGCTTTCATGATTCTGCCCTTGTATTTGGCTACTTTGATAGTTTGTGTATGTGTCTCAGCATGGATCTCTTTGAGTTTTCCTATGTGTAGTTTGTTTTAGTGCCTTTCATAAAATTTGGAAAGTTTCTGGCCATTGTATCTTTATATACTCTTTCTTCCCCTTTCTCTTTACTCTCCTTCTGGGACTCTCATGTGAATATGTTGGTAAGCTTTGTGATATCCCACAGATCCCTTACACTCTGTTCATTTTTCTTCCTTCTCTTTTTCTTCTCTTCAGACTGGATAATTTCAATTGACTTTTCTTCAAATACACCAATTCATTCTTTTGCCTGCTCAAATCTGCTGTTGAACCCCTGTAGTGATTTTAATTTCAGCCATTGTACTTTTCAGCTCCAAAATTTTTATTTGGTTCCTTTTTATAATTTCTATTTCCTTTTTGGTACTTTTTGTTCATTGAGAAATTATTCTCCTGGTTTCCTTAAGTTCTTTGTTAATGGTTTCTGTTAGTTGTTTTGGCATATTTAAGACAAATGATTTAAAGTCTTTGTATAGCAAGGCCAATGTCTGGGCTTCCTGAGGGACAGTTTTTGACAGGTGATTTTTTTTCCTGTAAATGGGCCATACTTTTCTTCTTTGCATGCCTCATAATTTTTTGTTGAATAATGGAATATTATAATGTGGTTAACTCTGGAAGTCAGATTTTCCTTCCCCAGTTTGCTGCTTTTGCTTGTCATGAGCTACAGTCATCTATTTAGTGATTTTCAAAGTTATTTTTTGCAAAGATTTCCTATTGTGTTTGGTCACTGAAGTGTTCATTCCATTGCCTCAGTGGTAAGCTGAGATTTCCTGGAAGAGAGTTTTTTACACACCTAAATTTAGTAGCCTTTTTCTTTGTCAGTCAACTCCCTTCTTGTTATAAATTCTTGACTATATTCCTTAGTTCCAAAAAAGTTGTTCTGAGTGTCATTGATGGTATAGTGATAAGCATAACTGCCTTCCAAAAAAGTTGTTCTGACATTTTTGTCAGCTTAATTGTTGCTTCAGTGGGGAGACAGATCCTTAGAGCTCTGTATTTCTTTATTTTCAGTGGTGTTACTCCTCCCTACCTCCCCATGAATGTGTATGTGGGTGTGTTTGTGTGTATTTTATTGTGGTAAGTAGCACATGCCATTAAATTTACTATCTTAATCATTTTTAAGTATATAATCCATTAGCATTAAGTATGTTCATATTGTTGTGCAGCAGATCCCTAGAACTTTTTCATCTTGCAACACTGAAACTCTGTACCCGTTTAATACTAATTCCTCCCCTACCTTTGTACTTTGTTTTTATAATTTTGACTACGTTAGGTACCTCACATGAGTGAAGTGATATAGTATTTGTCCTTTTGTGACCGGCTTATTTCACTTAGCATAATATCCTCAAGGTTCATTCATGTTGTAGCATGTGGCAGGATTTCCTTTTTAAAGGCTGAGTAATATTCCTTTGTATGTATGTACCATATTTTCTTTCTCCATTCATCTGTCAGTGGACATTTGAATTGCTTCTACCTCTTGGCTATCATGAATAAAGCTGCAATGAACATGGGTGTACAGATACCTCTTTGAGATCCTGCTTTGAATTCTTTTGGATATATATCCAGGAGGGGGATTGCTGGATCATATGGTAATTATATTTTTTTAATTTTTGAGAAGCCTCTATACTGTTTTCCATAATGACTGCACTATTTTACATTCCCACCAATCGTGCACAAGGATTCCAAGGCAGGTGGTATCGATTATTTCAATTTTATGGGTAAAAGTACTAAGACTCAGAGAAGTTTTCCTAGGCCACTAGTGAGTCAGTTCAAGATTTCAAAGTAATTACCTGACCCTGAGGCTCGAGGTCTTTCTACCATGCCAAACTTCTTTCCTTAAGGTGGAAAAACCTTTCAGACCCAGTAAAATAGCACTGACAACTACTGGGGTTAGTTGAAATAGGCCTTTCCTCAAAGAACAGTGTTACCATTAGTCATTTATTTCTAGGGACAATCACATTAGTCATTTATTTCTAGGGACAATCAGATACCTCTCTTTCTTAAAAGGAAAATTCTTTAGGATGTCAGGAGGCAGAGGTTTTACCTCATTGCTCAAGGGCGAAGGCCTGAAAAATAGACTCATTTTTCTACAAAGAGGCCCTTCTGGAACGAAGTAAGAGGCTAGATCCCTCTGATTAAGTAGAATTCCAGAGAAGTTTGAAGCTGATCAGTAGGAGAAATGGGATTAGGGTTATGAGGAGGAAGTTTTTACCCTCTCACTTTGCTTCTCTTGTAGGTTTAGCAGCAGCAGCAGAATTTAACCTTATCAGTAGAACCTTTCTAGACCATCTTCCCATTTGTGTGTTGCATGTGGATTGTGAGGAGAGTGATAAAACTGTTTGTATGTGTTAGTTTTAGATGGAATATTTGTGTATGTGTATTTTGTCATTCCGATCATGCAATTCCAGTACTCTTGTTCCCAGTTCAGCCCAAGTGGTCTTTTCTCTTTGTGTGAATTCAGTGTGTACCATTTATTTTTTCATTCATTCAGCAGGCACTTACTGAGAACCTACTCCGCGTTGTGTTAGGCTCCCTTAATATGAAATATAATAATACATATCACTGCCCTCATGGTAAATTGGGGGCAACATGTTTACTAATAAGCTCTGCATGACAGATAACTCCACTGAAGGTATGCACAGGATGCTATGGAGAGCTGAGAAGGAGGCATCTGAATCAGATTAGGAGAGTAGGGGAAGGCTTATTGCAGGAGCTGAATTTTGAAGAGTTGAGTAAAGTAACTCATGAAGTTACTCACTAAGTGGATGTTGGGTGAATGAATCAGAATTATGTGACTCTGGGAGAAGGACATTTGCAGCAAGGGTGCAAAGGTAGAAAGGCATGAAATACATGTGGCCCATTCAGGGACTCCTGCAGTTGAGTATGGATTAAGTAAAGGGTGCACTTGTAGGGGTGTGGGAGGAGCTGAAGTAGGTATCATTCTGTCTTCACCCTTTTGGATGAGATCTCAGTTTACCCTGCTTTCCCTTCTCCCTGCAGTCTACCCTTCCCTGGAGTCTGATGATGATGACCCTGCTTTGAAATATCGGCCCAAGAAAAAGAAGAATTCAGATGATGCTCCATGGAGTCCTAAAGGTGATCCAGTATTTTGTCCCTTAAACTGTAGGGGTGGTCCAGGGGAAAAATAGGCTGGGAATAGAAGGGACATTTAATGTAAGACGACCTGATTCATTCACTCATTTGTTTATTCAGCAAACATTTATTGTCTGTTGTGTGCCAGGCACCATGTTAGGTGCAGGAGCTAAAATGATCCATAAGACACAGAGTTTATGTAATCAGTCCAGGAAAACCAGAGATAATGGAGCATGTTGCTTTTGACATTACATGGCTCGAGATGAAAGGAGGAAAACCTGGAACAGATTTCAGCAAGCAGTCTAAGGCTTCTAAGAACATTCTGATACCATCTTCCCAGCCCTCTGGTAATTTGGTGTCAAGGAGGGAGAATCTGCTGACTGTTGAGCTCTGCAAGGCCCAAGACTGAGAGGCCATCTCTGAGGAAGAAAAGAAGAATGATCATTGAGTTAAACATGTAATTTAGAGAATGCTAAAAGAATTTTCTTCATCTCATCAGCTGGGTGGTTTTCACATTGGAGAGTGTATCAGTTAGCTTTGCCACTTAACAAACTACCCAAAACTTAGTGGATTAAAACAACAGTTGATCATTTCTCATGTTTCTGTAGGTTGGCTGAGCTGTTCTTCTAGTCTAAATTGGCTTGACTGGGGCTAAATAATTTTAAAAGATCACCCTCCGGTGTCTGGGACCTAAGTTGGATGTCTAGGGCCTCTTTCCACATTGCCTTTCATCCACTGGGAGGCCAGAAGGGTTTCTACCAGCAAGAGGGCAATTCCCAGGATGCAAGTGCTTTTCAAGCCCTTGCTTGTGTCATGTTTGCTATTGTCCCATTGGCCAAAGCAAGATCCATGGCCAATCCTTGATGCCAGGAGTGGAGGAATAAATTACAGCTCTTGAGAGAAGAGCTGTAAAGTCACATTGTAAAGGAGCATGCATATAAGTAGGTACAACCAAACTGAGGCCATTATGCAACAGTCTGCCATAGAAGGCACTAGGATCTCAGTACCTGTGGTTCCACAGGAAATAAAGGGCCTGCTGTTCCTGCCCAGCTTTATTTGGCCTTTCTGGTGTTTGCTTGGGGTTGGAGGAGTGGGGCATCAAGACATTCCTGGAAAGTGCTCTCTTAGTGAGTCAATCAGCAAATGTTTTGTTTTGTTTTTTTAAATTTAGGCCTATTTTTATTTTTTTTCTCCTATAGTTTCTAGCTTTATTTTTTATGGTAGTATGGAGGAGTTTAGGATAAAAAGCAATGTTCTTCTTCCCCAGCTATCCCCACCTTCAATCCTATGCCTGAGAGGCAGCCTCATAGTTTTCATTTTCCTGGTAGATAACCTCCAAAACTCAAGATAATAGAGTTTATACCACCATTTCTTGATTTATCAACTTAACCACTATTTCTTCTTTCATCAACTTCTGTCAATCATTCTTGATTACTCACTTTGTAAGATATGGATATTAGTGCACCTACTGTTTGTTCTCTCCTCCATCCTTCTATGAACCACACTTTTTCATTTATACAGTCAAGGTTGTTAACATATACATTATCTTATGATTAATACTCTACATGGACTAGAGGTTGACTGTAAAAATTGAAAACCAATAAATATATCTGGACTTTTAAAATTAATATTATATCATAAGCATGTTCCTGTGCCACTGTTCATAAATAATATATATATATTTTTTTGTCCTTTTTGTGACCGGTAAGGGGATCGCAACCCTTGGCTTGGTGTCGCCCACACCACACTCAGCCAGTGAGTGCACCAGCCATCCCTATATAGGATCTGAACCCGCGGCGGGAGTGTCGCTGCTCTCCCAGCGCCGCACTATCCCGAGTGTGCCACGGGGTCGGCCCATAAATAATATTTTTAATGGCTACTAAATATCTATTCCGTGGATATACCTAATTTACCGAACATCTCCTTCAATGTAAGGCATTTAGGCTATTGCCAAATTTTTGCAATTAGTGGTAACATTTGAGGTGAACATCTTTATATGTAAGTGTTTATATCTCTGATTATTTACTTAGTATGTATCCCCATGAAACCTTAGAAGGGCCAAAGTATGTGAGGATATACAGTGAAAATTCTTCCTCCTATTCCTGATCCACAGCCTTCCGATTCCCCTCTTGAGTCAACTAGTGTTACCAGTTTCTTGTTTATCCTTTCAGAGATAGTTTATACATATACAAGCAAATACACATGTATATTTTCTTTCCCCCTTTTTTTACTCAGTCGGAAACATACTTTATACACTGTTATGCACTTTGCTTTTCTCACTTAATAATATATGTTAGAGATTGTTTACACTCCCACAAGCAGTGCATGAGAGTGCCTGTTTCCTTACACCCTTGTCAACACAGTTTAACTTGAACGTTTTAAAAGCTCTAGATATGTATTGCCAAATTGCTTTCCAGAAAGGTTGTACCAATTTACTCCCACTAGCCATGTGTGAGAGTACTTGTTTATGAAATCCTTGCAGGTGTTGACCATATCAATTAGGAATAGTGTTTGCCTGTGAGTAACAGGAGCCTCTCAAGCATCCTTAGTGAATTCTTATTCACTCAGGGTCATGAGATGGCTACTTCACTTCCAGCATCAGTGTCTGGTCAGGAAGAAGTGGGAAAGCAAAAGGAATAGGCTGGCTGAACACCCTCCCTCCGCAAGGAGTTTTAAGTTCCACTTCTTTTTAATGTCTCTTTGGCCAAAATTGTGTCAATTGGTCAAGGCTATCTGTCAGAGAGGCCAGAAAGTGTAGTTTTTATCTAGGCATATTGTTGTCCCACAAAATTAGGGTTTTTGTTAGTAAGCATGAAAGAGAGGATGACACTTGGTAAGAATGAGCAGTTTCTACCATGAGTTTTTGATTTTTGGTAATTAACAAGCAAACAACAATATCTCCTTGATTTAATTTGCGTATCTTTAAGTATTTCCTCTATACTTGTATTAGCATTAGAATTTCTTCTTTTCTAAATTGTTGCTGTCGTTTGCCCATTTATCCATGTGAGTCTTCAGGCTTTTCAAATTGCCCTTTTTTTTTTTAAAGATTACCAGTAAGGGGATCTTAACCCTTGACTTGGTGTTGTTAGCACCACACTCTGCCAAGTGAGCTAACCGGCCATCCCTATATAGGGATCTGAACCCGTGGCCTTGGTGTTATCAGCACCACACTCTCCCAAGTGAGCCATGGGCTGGCCCCTCAAATTGCCCTTTTTATGTAGTAAGGAAATAGTTGTCCTTAGTTTTACACACATACACACACACACACATTTTTTCATATGTAATTTGCTTATGGTACTTTTTCCTTATTCTACATGAAAAAATCTTAATATTTCTGTATCAAATGTTGACCTTTTCCATTGTTTCTCTATTTAGAGAGTAAATAATTAATAACTCTGTATTTTTCAAGCATGATTTTTTAAAATATCCAATGTTTTAATCTATCTATAATTATTTAGCATATGGTGTTGAGCAGAAGATCCAAATTGGTTTTCCCCTGAGATGGGTAACTTTTGGTGCTGGAATCACATTCCCACTAAGCTGGCTTCTTTACCATATTTGCTGACCCATACATGTCATCGGCTTTTTGGGGAACATTTGTTTTGTATCATCAATATTCTGTATGTTCTTGTGCTGGTAGACACTTATTCAATGCCTATTTATGACTTAAAAAAACACACAAAAACACAATAAAAAGCCCCAAACTTTTAAGTAACTAAAAATAAAAAGATACTTCCTTAATATGAAGAAGAACATGTAGCTTAAACCGATAGCATAAAACTGTAGAGCAGAGCAGCTTTAGTTGGTGTCTGTGGACTTTTGGATACTTGAATCTCCTAAAATTGTGTTAGATTTTATGTAAATGCATGCATATATGTTTGTATATTTCTTTAGCTAATTACTTTTATCACATTTTTAAAGTGGGTTCTTAACCCCAAAAAGATTGAAGCATTCTACTAAATGTATTCCCATTAAAATCAGGTATAAGAAAAATATGCCCTTTAATATTGCTGTTATTTAGCACTGTTCTAGAAGATTTAGCCAGCATAATTAGAAATGAAGCAGAAATAAGAACTCTTAACTATTAGAAATTAAGAGACCAAAACATCATGATGTGAGGATCCCTCAGGATGGGAATCCTGTTCATTTTTGACCATCACTGTATCCGTAGCACCTTGCATAGTGCTTGGCACATGGGAGATGTTTAATAAGTATTTGACAAGTGAAAGAAATGATATGGTTGTATAACATGTATAGAAAATAGCATTATGATGGGGCCGGCCCGGTGGTGCACTGGATAGTGCGCCGCTTGGGAAGCGCGGCGGCGCTCCCGCCCGAGGGTTCGGATCCCACATACAGACCGGTTCCCGCTCACTGGCTGAGCGAGGCGCGGGAGCAACACCGAGGGTTGCGATCCTGTTGCCGGTCCCCGGTCCGGTACGGGGGCAACACTGAGGGTTGCGATCCGTTGCCGGACACGGAAAAAAGACAAAAAGACAAAAAAAGAAAAGAAAATAGCATTATGATTATATAATATATTAGAAAATGCAAAAGAATCAACTAAAAACTGTTAGAACTAACAAGAGAATTCAATAAATTGAGTAATCACTAGATATAAACCAGATATTCGAAAATTAAGCACTGCCATATATCAATAATAACCATAATATATTAAGAGGAAAAAAGATCCTATTGACAATATCAACAATTATATAAAATACCCAAGAATAATCTTAAGATGATTATGAAGAAAACTTCAAAACTTTCCTGAGGAACATAAAAGAAGGCCTGATTAAATAGAGGTGTACCATGTGCCTGGTTACAAAGACTGAGTGTTGTAAAGGGTCATTTTCTTCCAAGTTTATTTATACATTTAACACCATCCTAAGTCAAAATCCTAATGGAATTTTGTGGGGAACTCATTCTAAAATTAATTTGAAAAGTCACCAGGTATGATTAGCTGAAAGAATTTTTGGATAGAAAAAGCAAATGAAAAGAAATTAGCTTTTTAAGTTATGTAAATATAGTGCTACAATGAAATTAATGTGGTTGTAACTACAAGAGTAGTCAATAAATATTTTTCCTCTTAAAAAAATTTTGTTATGAAAATTTTCAAACATATGGAGGGTACTTCAAAAAGTTCATGGAAAAGTGGAATTAAAAGATAATACTAATCTTTCCATGAACTTTTTGAAGACTCCTCATACAGAAAACGAGAACTTAGTACCGTGAACACCTATACAGGCATGCCTTGTATTGCAGGTTTGGTTCCAGACCACCACAATAAAGCAAATATCACAATAAAGTGAGTCACACAAATATTTTGGTTTCTCACTGGTTAAAAAGTTATATTCACACTAGGCTGTAGTCTATTAAGTATGCGATAGCATCGTGTCTTAAAAAAAAATGTACATATCTTAATTTAAAAGTGCTTCATTTCTAAAAAAATGCTAATGATCATCTGAGCCTTCAGCGGGTTGTAATCTTTTTGCTGGATCTTGCCTGTATGTTGATGGCTGCTGACTGATCAGGGTGGTGGTTGCTGAAGGTTGGGGTGTGTAGAGCTAGGGCTAGGGTCTGGAGCTCACAGAC